ATTTATTTGAGAGAGAGAGAGAGAGAAATAGCATGAGAGGGGATAGGGTCAGAGGGAGAAGCAAGCTCCCTGCTGAGCCGGGAGCCCGATGTGGGACTCGATCCCAGGACTCCGGGATCATGACCTGAGCCGAAGGCAGTCGCTTAACCAACTGAGCCACCCAGGTGCCCGAAACTAACGGTATTTAAAGTGTTCCTATGATTTCACAGATAGAGCTTCCCCTCCCCGAGAACGCACGCCAAACAGCACAGAACGTGTGCACTCGGCATCATGGGCTAAGCCGAGCTCACTGGAGCAGGGATTCCCAAAGAGGGCTTTGTGGAATGGAATATTCCACATTATTATAAGTGGTTATAGGGGAAAGAAGGTTCTGAGGTCAAATTGGAAAATGTCCTGATAATCAAATAAGCAAGTTTCTTTATTGTCAGACCCTCAGAGCCTTTAACGTATTAATGTTCAGTGTGACTTTCTACAATGAGATTATAGCATAAAACGTTTTCCAAACTTACTTGACTGCAGAAGCTTGTTTTTGAGGACCTCATAGAACTGGCATTCTGCAAAATTCACTTTGAGAAATACTGTTTGAGAGTATGAGACCCATTGTAAGTCCTTCCTGGAACAAAGTAAGGTGTAGGTAAATAGAATATGAAATTATCGAGGGCAGAGGGCATACAGAGATATATCTCATCTCTGTATGCCCTAGAATTAACACACACCTGCCTGGCATCCAGTAGGTGCTGAGTAAAGTTTGTTGAAGTTAAGAACAGTATCATCAAAATTACAGTTGTTTTGACCCTCTCAAATGGGTCGGTTGTACTGGAAGGACCTAACGCATCATCTCATCTGAACCTTCATTTTATAGATAAGAAAATTGAGGCCAAAAGAGGAAAAGTAACTTTGCAGAGATCTCACAAGTTAGGCAGCAGGTACCAGAACCTAGGTCTCTTGTCTCATTCATTGATTCAACAAATACCCTTTGAGTACCTGCTATGTGCAAGGCACTGGGTTAAAGCCAACATTGCCTTTATGGAGTTTATATTCTAATGGAGGGAATAAGACATTAAACTAATTGCAAAGCTAATAATTTATGTATACTTGGGACACTTGCTTCCAAGGAGGACAGAGCACTAGGAAAGCATGAAGCAGTGGGCCTGGGCTGGGACTCGTGGCCTTGAACCCATCTTGCTGCCTCCCACTGAGCTGCATGTTGACCCCCATGACCACGTTGCTGGGCTCGTCTTAGCTGTCTTTGGCAGGGTTTGTATTATGAGAACCATAGCTCTTGACCCAAACATTGATACAGCTGGAACTGGCAAAGGTTATTTTCTGATTTGTGAATTTCTTAGTGAAGTTATACAATATTAAGACAAATCAATTCAATAATAATAATAATAGCACCTATCATTTATTGAATGCCTACTTACGTTACCTACCCTGCTAAATAATTAACATACATTATTTCCTTAATCTTCTCAGCAACTCTTTGAATTAGGTATTACCTCCATTTTACAGATGACAATACTGAGGCAGAGAGAGTTAAATAATTTGCCAGTCATCCCATGGGTAGTAACTAAAAAGGTAGTATGGGGATTTGAATTGAGGTCTGCCCAGTTCCAAAGTCCACATTGTGTTACAACACATGGTTTTAATTTACAATTTAGGATTAAATGGTGTGAAATTGGAACTGCCTTAGAAAATCAGGATCTGAAAGAATAACAAAAAGTTATTTAATTTAAAAGTAATATGTGTGAAGTGTCTAGCACAGTGGCAAGCCATGGTAGGCCCTCAGCAGATGGCAACTGTCATGGTATCACTGTCCTGAAGCCTCTAAACCAGCAGGTGGCAAACTACAGGACACAGACCAAATCTGGCCCATCACCTGTTTTTGTAAATAAAGTTTTATCAAAACACAGCCATCATTCATTTGTAAGTTATGTCTGGCTGCTTTCCCACTACAATACCAGATTTGAATAATTGCAACAGAGACCCTATGGCTCACAAGCCTAAAATATTTATTATCTGGACCTTCACAGACAAAATTGGCTGCTTTGATCTAGACAAGTGCCTCAGGTTTCTATGTTGCCATTCTATGAGCCCTATGTGAGGTTTGGGTACAACTCATGATACTGTATGCCTTCTGCTCAAAATAGAAGGTAAAGGTCAGTAGAAGATTCATATACTGTCTTGAAGCTGTAGGTCAGGCTTTGTGCATCATGCACACATTATATTATTTAATCCCCTGCGAAACCCCATTGTGTAAGTAGGCTGGGGCTCAAAGAAATTAAATAAGGTCGTAAAAGCCACTGAGTGCTGAACCAGACTGGTAGGGCATCCAGGCTTATATTCTTTGCAGCTGACGGGAGGCTACATCTTGGAGCAAGAGAAAGCAATCTACTACCATTCTTAACCATTGGACTCAGCTTCCTTCCTCCAAGACTGATTTCAAATACAAATGGGGCTCCATTGAAAGGCAGTTCCTGCTGGGTGGATAAACATTCAAATGGGACTAGTCAGGGAAAGCAGGGGTCCCTAATTGCTTGGACCGGGAAGGGTGGCTGGTGTTGGGAGCCGGGTCCGATGCCTGGCTGATCACCTGCATGCCACAGTACAGTTCCTGAGCTTGTGCGCCTGCTGTCCTGGTCACCTGTGGGGGAGCCATGCTGGTGGCTTCCCACCCTTCCCAACAGTCTTCTGCTGTGCAAAGACCAGAGTCCACATTTGCTTCTAAACTTCTGCAAGGATCCCTCCTAGGCTTGGAGTGCACAGTCAATAACTGTTTCTTCCTTTGAATGACAAACACGGTGGCCAGAGTGATTGATTGGCTGCTGTCTGAACATCTCAAATACAAATGAACATGTTCCTTTCTTTTACTTTGTAATAAAAGTCAACTATCAACAGACCTTGAAACACTAAAGTTTTATATTCTAATTGATGGGTCATTCGGGGTGTCCCCGCCTCAGCCTACGTCTTGTATGGGACAGCTACATTCACACTGGTCCCATTTAAGAATAAGTGGCCAATTTTCAGTTATTTTGTGGCAGAAGATTTACTTTGTAGCCATATTTGTAGCAGTTTGCTGCTCATAACAATAAATTAAGTCTTATAGATGACTTTGACGTCCGTACCCTTCCCTAAGACTGAGCAGGGCCAGAGAGAAGACACAGAAGGCAGGCCAGTGAAAGGTGTTTTTGAAAGCCGCTCTGAGGAAGGAGTTGACAGGTGTTAAAATGAAGACTTGAATGAAAACCAAGGGCCAAATAGAAGCTGAAGTGAACCATGTAACTTAACAGATTCTCAGACGTAGATTTCTGAGCCATGAACTCAGAGAGAAGGGTTTAAAAGGGTAGTAATAAAAAACCTGTAAATCTACTTGACTAGTAAGGATAACTCCCTACCTTATGATATGGGCAAAACGGAACCACGGCAGAATCTAAACATCGCCTGACCCTTCTTGATGCAATCACCCAAGCTTCTCTCAGACAGATGGCCACTCCCGTATCAGGTTCCCACCAGATTTTGTACATCTCCCCGAGGGCATTTAGCAGTGAAATATTTTGCTTATACAAATCTGTCTCGTCTGATAGGCTGCATGCTCTTCAAGAATAAGAAGTAGGTCTTATTCATCTCTGTACCTCCAGTGCTAGCCCAGAGAAGGTGCTTGATAAAAGACAGGCACGTGAATGTACAGATGAACAAAATCAGGGAAGGGCAGCTTGCCCGTACCTGCGTTTGCAATCCCAGACAGCCCTAGCTAGTCTCTCTCATGGCAGTCGTCGGGGTCTTCTGCGTGTAGAACCCCCTTCCTAGTGGTGATACATAAGATGGGAAGGAGAAGACCCAAGGGCTCTTCCTCAAAGCAAACGGTTGTTTAGGAGAAAATGGGGCAAAATAAAAGCCTAGGGTCAAGTACAAGTAACAGTACAATGGTAGTTGACCCAGTAACAAGTGCTGAAAAAAGGATAGCCCTTCTAAAATGAGACCCAGAAGTGCTGAGGGAACATAAGGAGTAAACGGAGAGGTGAGTCCTTTGTTCCAAACAGCCCCCAGAAACGGGAAAAACACACGAGAGTGAACATGGAGCAGGGATCAGGCAAAAGTTTCCATTGGTCACCTTCTGGCAGGCTCCCATCCACGGGCTCCCCCTTGGGCATCCTGATCACTTTTGAAAGGGGGGACATTCACTGCAGAAGGTGTGAGTTTCAGACCTGTCCCCACCTTCCCAACTGTGCCACCTCCTCACCGGGCGGCCTTAGCAAGTCCTTCCACCTGGGAGTCTCAGTAGCACTCTCGGCAACGTGGCGCTTCCCAGCGATCCCAGCCTCCCTGGGTGCTGAGGGCGTCGGCATGCTGGTGGACGTGAGCGCGTTTCCCGAGCAGGCAGGAAGAGCGTGAGTGTGTGTGACCGCAGGTGGCTGTGGGCGAGCAGACCTCGATGCCGTATGCTTTGCCTTGCAGAGGGTTGCCCTGGCTTGTGCAACGGCAACGGCAGATGTACCCTGGACCTGAATGGCTGGCACTGCGTCTGCCAGCTGGGCTGGAGAGGAGCAGGCTGTGACACATCCATGGAAACCGCCTGTGGTGACAGCAAAGACAACGATGGAGGTAGGGCTCCGGCACCTGGGGACGCCATGCAGCTCGGGCGGCGGGCGGGCATAAAACTGCACGTGTGGTCAAAGGAATAAGTACATGTCTCTAGTTGTTCCATCTCAATTAATTTAAATGAACTAACGGAAATGAAATTAATGGCCATCTGACAGCCAGGGGAGGGGAGAAGCCATATGGAAGAAAGAATTTTCTAGCAATTCAATAGTGGGATGGGTTACCTGGCAAAGTTACACAATCCCCCTCACTGGAAATGGACAAGAAGAGGCCCGTCCAGTTTTGTATTACAGAAAGTGGCAGAAAGGATGCTTCTCCAGCGGAGGGAGGTTGAGTTACCTTTGGTTGAGATGCCTTCTCCCCTGATTCTGGTAGTAACCCCCAACAAGCCACCTTTGCCCCCACACCCTCTGTTCCTGTGGGTTTGTAATAGAATTGGTCTTAGTTAATAGGTTTTTTTCAAGTGCTGCACAGTCCAGACCCTAAGGAAGAGAGGCCTAGTCTTGTGGAACATTTCTCAGCTGAGAGAGAAGAGACCAGGGTTCTAATCCCTATCAATCCCCTGTGTATCCCTAAGCAAGTTACTTGATGTCTCTGGGCCTCACACTTCCTATTTATGAAATGCGGCAGTTGGATCATGAGGACCATTCCAATCCTTATATTGGTCCTAGCATTAACCTTCTTTCTTCTGTTGTGTTACTTGGATAAATATAATCACGATGTGCTCTACTATCCCTCTTAGAAGATGGGTTGATCCTTCCTAACTCTCCTAATCTCAGGGGGTTAGTAGGAGAGATTAAAAAGATAGAGAAATGAAAAAAATTCTTGTGCTCCATAAATATCCAGAGTTCCTCCTATGGGGCCAGGCCCTAGGCCAGGCACAGCGATGACAGAGTCCCTTCACCCTTACATGCCTCCAGATGTCACCAGAGCGCTGGCTGGCGAGGGACCAGCAAAGCCGGCAGGCAGAGAAAGACCCTGACCCACCTGACAAGAAGATGTTCCTTCCTCGTGTAGTTCGGTCCATGAAACCACTCCTGAAATGCTGTCACGCGTCTTCTCAGCTGTGACATAGTGACCCTCTGATGGGGTGTGTCTGTTTCATGCCCATTTCAGAGATGGGGAAACTGTGGCCCAAGCATGCAAAGTGGCTGTAAAGTGAGAATAAGAATGCTTGCCCTGCAGGGTCGCTGTGAGGATGGCAGGTGCACTCAACATGCCTGAGAGGCAGCTCAGCACAGCGATGAAAAATGCGGGATCTCTACCCAGATGGCTGGGATTTAAACCCCGGCTCTCCCATGTGCTGACTGCAGGCCCCTGAGTGGGCTCTTCAACTTCTCTAAGCCTCAGTCCCTCACCTGCAAATGTCAGTTCCCGTTGTCCTGCGCCTTACTACCTGTAAGCACAGAAGCTTGATATTTATGATAAAAATAAATATATACCCATATATAAATCATTATTTTTAAAAATTGGAATTATGCTCTCTATGAAATTTTACACTCTATTTATTTCACTTCAGATTATAATGTGTTTCTCCATATAATAATGTATTTTGACCTTTTTCATCTCTTGATTAAAATTTGTGTCCCAAACTGTTCCATGCTCCTTGCTAGAAGGGAAATAATTCAAGTGTACAAGGAAAGTAAGAGCCATAGTTTAGAGATCATCCCCTGGTGCCAGGCACTGTGCTGGGCGCTCTGTGGACGTGATGTCCAGCCCTTCACAACAGACATGCAGGGCAGACATTTCCATGTGGGGAAACTGAGACTGGGTGAGCTGAAGACATTTGCCCAGTGTCACACAGTGGGATCAGCAGGAGAGCTAGGGTTAGAATGGAATGGGTGTTTCAAAAAAAGAAGCCAGAGTATAAAATTGCCTGGAATCTTAAAACAACCAGACCCCTTTGGATGAAGGATTTGTAAGCAGCTTCAAGGTGTGATCATCTCTTCAGGCGCTGTCGGTCCCATGAAAAATGATCATGGATTGCAATACAGATCACTGATAGATGCCACCTGGAAGGAGAAATTTCAGGAGAGCGGAGAACAAAGCTCTCTGCCCTCCCTCCTCCTCCCCATCTCCCATTGCTGGAATGGAGAGCTCCCGTAAAGCCATAGAATTCGGTCACCCTTCAGACTATCTCTAAACCACGTTTCTTGTGATAAGAGATAAGAGAGAAATTGACCTTTAAAAATCCTGTGTTGCAAGGGGCAGATAGAGATTTTGGAAGCCTTTTCAAAGAAGGCACAGAGTTTATTATCGCAAATGACAAAAACTTCTCCCAGATGTGTACGGGGGCGGGGGGGAGGCACACCCCCCATCCCCAGGGCCGCCCTGGGTGCTGCTCACGGGCTGCTGTAAGGCTGTTCTGCAGCCGCAGTAAGACAGGCTTGGCCGCTGGGCTGTGGAGCCCAGGCAGCAGCTAAGCCCACAGGGAGAGAGATGGACGGGTTACACACTGTCCACAGGGCCGTGAGTGTGAGGACCATGCAAACAACTGCAACACAAAGAGTTTGCTCGTCCATGAATTTCCCAGACCTGTTCCCATCTCTACTTTTCTCTCCCCAAAGCTACTTTTTCCTCTTAACATACCTCTTCTCAAGTCTGTCACCTCTGCCTACGAAAACGGAAGCATGGAAGTCTCCCTTACTGCAGGCAGCCACATGCCCCGTATCAGGCTACCGGGTGCTGCCTTTGAAAACAGAGGGATTTGCACGAAAGCCTGTCTCGTAAACTGCACCTTTGATAAGAATTTTGTGGGCCCCACTCATTTTTGAAACAGGGGCTTCCTTTAATAATGATCATCTCTATTAGCAGAGGTTTAGCCCACATTTACTACTTCACAAATATTTGCTGAGTCAATGATGAGGGAGCGTCCACCCAGGAAGGCCTAGGTGGACAGAACTGTTGGCCTGGCGTTGTCACTCTGTCCTGTGAAGCGTACCCATGAGCCATTCCACGATCCCAGCACTTTCATGAGAGCCCCGCTTGTGTGATGTGGCTCCATTTCAGAGAACGCCAATCTTCAAGTCTCCTGGGTCTCCACTTCCTGACTTACCGGTGTGTCTCTCAGGCCATCTTTGTCTAGTTCAGTTCTTCAAAGCCAGGCTGTATCCAGAAAGAGCTGCCCTGAAATGTGTGTGGGAGGGAGCCAGGACAGGTCCATTGTGAGGATGCCTGTCCAAGGGAAGCACCCGGCCAAGGAGCTAACAGGGACTCTTGTTTACCAAGCACAGACTTAGGTGCTGGTCATCATGCCAAGTGCTCACATCCGTGATCTCACCTAATCCCCCCAGCCCAGCTGTGAGGCACGTCTGATTGTGCCCTTTGTAGATGGGCCGAATTGGAGCTCAGAGCCCTTGCTGAGACTTTCATTTCCAGCAGAATGGCCAACTAGATCACAAAGGGCCTCTGATCCCAGGAAACAACGATTTGTTTTTAAAATTGATGGCTTAATTTGTTTTTGTTTTTTTTTTTAATTTATTTTTTGACAGAGAGACACAGCGAGAGAGGGAACACAAGCAGGGGGAGTGGGAGAGGGAGAGGGAGAAGCAGGCTTCCTGCAGAGCAGGGAGCCCGATGCGGGACTCGATCCTAGGATCCTGGGATCATGACCTGAGCCGAAGGCAGACGCTTAACGACTGAGCCACCCAGGCGCCCCAGCTTAATTTGTTTTTAAAAAAGGAAAGAAAATAGGAGTGTGGGGAAGCCTGATTTCAGAAGCAAGGATGAAGCCAGAAGCTAGAGGAAGCACAGGGATACTGAGATGAGCTCCATGTCTGGGGAAGGAGAGAGAAAACCAACATTAGGGTGGGGGGAGGGGGAGTGAGTGCTGTGATGGAGTTCACCCAGGGAGCTGGAAGGGCACGGAAGAGAGGTATTTCAGCAAGACTCATAAATTCATGTTTTCCACTTAAGAAATAGTTCCCAGTGGGGCACCTGGGTGGCTCAGTCGTTAAGCGTCTGCCTTCGGCTCAGGTCATGATCTCAGGGTCCTGGGATCAAGCCCCGCATCGGGCTCCCTGCTGAGCAGGGAAGCCTGCTTCTTCCTCTCCCACTCTCCCTGCTCGCCCTGCTTGTGTTCCCTCGCTGTGTCTCTCTCTGTCAAATAAATAAATAAAATCTTAAAAAAAAAAAAAAAAAAAGAAATAGTTCCCAAAAGTCTCTTCAGGACTCAAAGAACCTTTCATACTTCAGAAAGAACTGGGCTCAGATTCCAAGTCAGCTCCTTCTCTGACTACACAAACTTGACCAAGTTACTCTACCACTTTGAGCCTACAGTTCCTTCTCTCTAAAATGAGGGTGATGGGGAGCCTGGGCCGCTCAGTTAATTGAGCATCCAACTCTTGATTTCGGCTCCAGTCATGATCTCAGGGTCGTGAGATCAAGCTCCGCATCGGGCTCCATGCTCAGCACGGAGTCTGCTTGGGATTCTCTCTCTCTCTCTCAAGTAAATAAATAAATCTTTTTTAAAAATAAAATAAATAAAATGTGGGTGATGGTGACAACAGTGGCTACTTCACTGAGCTGGGAAGATTCAACGATGCATTCCTTGAAAGCATTCTTTGTCAAGCATTTAGCACAATGCCTGTGGTCGTCATCATCATCATTTAATATAATATTAATAATAATAACAATAATTCCTGGCTAACCTTCCCCCAGGACTAGAGAACAGGGAGCAGTGCTTCCAAGATGCCACAGAGCAAAGTGTTTATAAAGAGATAAAAGACTGGCTTCCAGGGTCTGCTTCAGTGGTAAACAAGAGCAGGCAATAGCTAATAAAATTTCAAATTAGCCATGACTTTTCACAGCCCTTCAATTGTGCTTGCTGATTTAATGGTCAACGTCCCTGCTCACTGGGATTGAATAATGGAGCATTTCTGCGGAGTTATGGATGCGGCAGCTGAATCTGTCAGGCTAACATCCATAGCAGAATGCAAATAACCCATGGCTTGGGCTGTAATTATGTGTTTAAGCAATGTCTGACAGGGGCAGCACGAGAACGTATGATGGAGCCGCCATCCGCCGGAGGAGACAGGTGCTTCGCTAGGCAGTTAGTGGGCGTATCTGGGCTCTGGTACAGGAGCCACGAGTTAGGACCCGGGACCATGCTGGGGTCAGAGGAGGCCTTTCCTCCACATCTCAAGATGAATCTGGGAGGTGAGCAGACCAAGGACAAACGGCCCTACACTTTGGTGAGCCATGGTGTAGACTCAGGGACAGGAAGGGGGGGCCACCTCTTAGGAAGTACTTACTGTGTACCCAGTACTCTGCTAGATTTGGGGACATATACTATGTTTTGCATTTATGTCACAAATACTTATGTGACACTTTTATAATCCCCTTGTAAGACACATGGGGAAGGGGGGCCAGAGAGTTTAAGTAACTTGCCCCCAAGTAGTAAGTTTCAGAGCCAGGGTTTGACCCCAGACAATCTGGGTTCTGGAGTCCAGGCTGTTGATGCTGCACTACCCTCAAGGCAGTCATGAAGTCTGGAATGCCATGCAGAAGTAGGCAAGAAAGACAAGGGATTTTTGTCCCTAATTTACTAAGGGAAAAAAAACTGGATTTCAGGGAGGTCAGGTAGCTTACCGGAGGCCACAATACATCTGAGGCTAGTAAGGAGGCTTGGGGGGCCACCTGTGTGGATGGGGCACCGTATCTGGCTCGGGCTATGCTGTGCTCTGGTGGGCGGAATCTGTATCGCAAACCCTGGGAGATAGAAGCGAGGGAGGCATGTCAATGATGAGAAGACTGGGGCTCAGAGAGTGAGAGCAGGCATCCATCCACGGGCATGCTTAGGGGCAGTTCTGGGACCTGAGCTGCAGCCTGAGCCTCATGATGCTCCCACCATACCACACTGTTAAGCTGAAGTGAACGAAGATAGTGGTTTTCTGGCTTTCGTGGACTGTCATTTGGTTTCATCCCCTGTGCATTTGTCAATTCATTCAATTCTCATTCGTGTAGTTACTTCACAGCCATGTTTTAAACTCCTGAACTAAGAGCTGGGGACACAACAGAGGTAACCGGAACAGGATCTAGGTCTCCAGGATGGTGGGGTGCCCAGCTTATTAATAAGCAAGAGAGGCAGAATTTGAACCCAGAGGAACACATGCCCTTAGACTGCTCTCTGCAACAAAGCAAACAGACTGTCACCCTGGGCTGTTCCTGTCCCCCACTCCTGGCTCTTATTGCTCGTAACCCTTAAATTTCCCTCCAAACCACCCACTTGTCCCCACCTCCACTGTTCCTGCTCTGATCTCTTGTGCCCCGTGCAACCTCAGAGACGCCCTCGCTGCCCGCCGCGGGGCCCCCAGCTTCCACTCTGGGCCAGCTTCAGTACCCCCTCCTGGTTACAGGAGAGCTTCTTTCAGTGATGCAGATCAGACGATGTCCCCCTGGCTTTCAACCTTCCAGGAGCTCCCACCGTCCCCGTCCTGGGGGTGATAGGCAAACTCCCTAAGCTGGCCCACGTCCCCGATACTTCTGCTTCCACCAGCATCGACAGTCTCTTCTTGGGCTCGTCCCTCATCTTCCGAGTTGAGCTGAGCAGCTCAGATGTTCAGTATGTTCTCCCACCCCTGGGCCCTCATAAAATTCCTTCTGTCTCTTTGAAAAGAAACAGAAACACCTTATCCCCACCTGTCCCCCTGTACACGGGCTTGTCCGTCTCCCCGACTAGATGAGTGGGCTAGGAGCAGATCTGAAGCCCCTGGATCTCCCTGCAAAGCCCTTGGCTTATGTCAGGTCCTTAATCAAGTGTCTCAGTGAGTGGAAAATAGAGACGTGAACGAAGGCATTGTGGACAGATGCGGCTGGTAGACTGTAGCGGTATGAACTTAATGCTCTGTCTCCCCTGCAGATGGCTTGCTGGACTGCATGGACCCTGACTGTTGCCTCCAGCCCCTCTGCCATGTCAACCCGCTGTGCCTGGGCTCCCCTGACCCTCTGGACATCATCCAGGAGACACAGGCCCCCACGTCCCAGCAGAACCTGCACTCCTTCTACGACCGCATCAAGTTCCTTGTGGGCAGGGACAGCACGCACATCATTCCCGGGGAGAACCCCTTTGATGGAGGGTGAGTCCCCTGGGCTGTCGTGGCTGTCTGCGTGAGAACTGAATCACCTCTTGGGCCACCGTTGGGGTGGTGGGGGTGGGAAGGAAGCCAGAAGGGTGGGCATTGAAGGCTCTCCATGGAATGTCACGGGAGGCAGAGAAGCAGCAGCCTCAGGTGCCCACACTTAGAAAACTGCTATCCCAGGCATTTGGAATTTTAATGAGCCAAGTTGTGTTGTTCCCGCTGGGTGATAGATGGAGAGAGTGAGAAATCAAAGGTCCAAGGGGAATCTTGGATCAATACCCTCTTTGCAGTCAGCTCTTACTGATTCTGCCGTCTCCAGACTAGCGGAAACGCTTTAACACTGTTCACCCTCAGAGCCGATGTCCAGAAGATGGTGGGGGCTGGGGTGTAGCAGCTGGCCCCCCAGGCCGTCTGCCTGTGCATTCTTTCACAAGTGTTCAGTTGTGTCTGTCACCCACTGGACAGTTGTTCACTGAGGTCCACTCTGTGCGAGGTCCTGTGCTGGAATCACAGAGGTGAATAGGACACGTCCCTGCTCATGGGTCACTCCCAGTCCACTAAGGGGACAAAAAAAAAGACCTCCAGGGTGATCCACCAGAACTGTGCCCTCAGGGTACTCTGGGACCGTTGAGGAGGTGCTCCTGCGGAGGGGAAAACCATGACTTAAGGACAGAGTCTTAAAGATGAGAAATGATTGGCTTGGCCAGGGAGGGGAGAGTGTTCCCAGGAGAGAGAACAGCTTGTACAAAGACCAGGGGCTGGAAAGCGCACGGGGCCAGCAAAAGGCCGCTCTCTATTCTCCGCTCCCCCGACTGGGCTCTTGACCCAGGCATAGCATCCGAGAGTGACCTGTAATAATTTCTTTTGAATGTCTTCCAGTGTAGGGATGCCTCTTACATGCAGAGCTTTCTCTAAAGCCAGCACAGTTCAGTTCAGCAGTTACAGATTTTGTCCCTTCTGTGTCCATGACTTCTGTGCCAGAGAGTTCCTGGCCCACGGGGACAACGGGCTTGTGGTGAGGGGTGGAAAGGGTGAAGGCCATCCTCAAGTTCTGTTTAAAGGGGGAGATCAGCAGGGCTCAGGCATCACTTGGGCCTGAGGAACGCAGGAGTCTCTCGCTCAGATGCCTTGGGAGATGGTGTTGCCTTCACCAGGTTGGGGATCCGAGAGCAGCAAGATGGTTGGGAGCCAGGTGATGACCTCCCCCCTGCACAGTAAGGGCAAGGAAGGGAGATTTTGTAGTTCATAAGCTATTCTGGAGCTCACATGGAGGTCAGAGGTGTTGATTTGGGAGCCTTCAACAAGCAAGCAGGAGTCAAAACCAGGAGCACACAACAGTTCGCTCGAGGCGAATGTGTGAGGGGGGGAAGGGCAGGGGCCGCAAAAGGAGCCGCCCTGGGAGGCGAGGCATAACTGGGGATCCAAGGAGAAGGCCCCCCTGTTGGGGCGGGATGGAGCCCGGGTTCTGGGCTTCACACCACAGGACTGTGGGGTCCAGAGCACCTGCCTCCCACTGCCCCCATCCCTCCTCACAAGAAGCAAGGACAGGACAGAGAGAGTGAAATGGGGGAGTACTCTGAGCCCAGTGGGCGGGGTGTAACAGGAGTGCATAAAATCATTCAAACTTTAACCTTTTCAGAGATGAAAGTGCTTTGTAGTCCAAATCTTTCAACTCACCTCAAGAACCTTGAGAACCGCAGAGGTTAAATGACCTTCCCAAATTCACAGGCTAGTCAAGTGGCTGAGCCAGGAGCAGAACTAGAGAGAAGAAAAACCTATTCGTTTATCTTGGTCAGAAATGCTGCTTTTGTCTCTGGGTAGGAAGCTTCCTGCTCTTTTATTCAATTGTGTGACTTTGTATATGCTTGTGGGCCTTCTCATGGCCTATGTTCTTTTAATCAACCGGAGATAGGCATATTATTCCCACCAAGGGGAATATTCCTGGCTCAGCCTTTCTTTACTGGGCCCATTATGGGATCTGATCAGGGTTCTGGCTGGTTGGCTGCCAGTGGGCAGGACCCTTACCGTGCCATCCTGATCGGTGCCAGCAGGGACCACGCCCCCTGCATGTCTTCTGGTGACCCACCAAAGCCTACTGCTTACATGCCGCAGACCCCTGGGGGACCCACACAGGCTTTCGCCACTGTGGCTCCAGCGGGTCCGACTTGCAGGGAACTTGAGAAAGCTGTACCAGGAGAAAGGAACCTTTCGACAGAAGGGGAGAGCATAGGCCTCGGAGTCAGGCCAACTTGTGTTTCCGATTCTGGCTCTGTCACTACCGGGTACATGGCTCTGGACAAGTGGCTTAATATAACACATATGTAAATGTCCATCAACCCTCTAAACTGAGTCCTCCAGGAAAGGACTGCATCTTACTCATTTTAGCACTTAGTAGATGCTCAAAACAAACATGCGTACATATTGCCTTAAACAATGAAGAAATGGAAGGAAGGGAGGGAGGGAGGGAGGATGGATGGATACATTATCTATTTTACTTAATTTTATACTGAGGATTCAGAGTCAAGGGAGGTTAAATCATCTGCTAAAAATCATATTACAGATGAGTAGCAGAGGCAGGAGGAGAAGTCAGCTCCCAGATCATTGTTTATGTATCTGTCACCTTCAGTTAAACTACAGATGCTTCGAAAGCAGAGACTGTTCATCTCTCCAAACCTATCACACTTAGGGCAAGGCCTGGAATATGGTATTCACTCTACAAATAAATGGATAACAGAAGCTTCTAAATGTTACTGTAAAAATTCCTTTCACCTAAAATGTGCCCAAACCATTATATCCCTGCTCCTTGCTCATCTAGATTTGGAAGAAACAGCGGTCTATCACTACTCAGTATCCCCAAACAGATTTTTATGTTAAAAAAAAAAAAAAAAAAGCCCAAGTGACCAGAAACCTGGAAACATGAGGCATCAAATGCTTTTCTCATTAGACTGCCCAAGGGGTATCCTCTGTCTTGATCTGGGTCTGCAGACCAGTGCTTATTTACGTAGTTGGGATGAAGTGGAACCCCTTACCAGGTTTGGGTTGTGGCCTGCCTTCCTATCGTAGGAAGGAATGTGGCTTCACAGAAAGTGCCCAGAGTTTGAATTTTGGATTTACCTCCCACCAGCACTGTGTGACCTCAGAGGAAAGGATTAAACCTTTGTGCATGGGCCTCCAATTACAAATGGGCAGTAATAATGACTATTTCATGAATGCCATTGAAAGGGTTAACTGAAATAAAGCACCTAGCACAGGGCTTGGTACTTGGGTGGTCAGTAAATGGTAGCATTTACGGCAGCGGCATGGCCTAGTGAAAATAACACAAGCTTTGGAATCAGATAACTGGACTTATTTTTTTTAATTTAATTTAATTTTATTTAAATTCAGTTAGTTAACATATAGTGTATTATTAGTGTCAAGGGTGGAGGTCAGTGATTCATCAGCTGCATGTGACACCCAGTGCTCATTACATCACGTGCCCTTCTTAATGCGCGACACACAGTTACCCCATCCCCCCACCCCCTCCCCTTCAGCAACGCTCAGTTTGTTTCCTAAGATAAAGAGTCTCTTATGGTTTGCCTCCCTCTCTGGTTTCATCTTGTTTTATTTTTCCCTCCCTTCCCCTATGATCCTCTGTTTTGTTTCTTAAGTCCCACATATGAGCAAGATCATATGGTATTTGTCTTTCTCTGATTGACTTCTTTCATTTAGCATAATACCCTCTTGTTCCATCCACGTTGTTGCAAATGGCAAGATGTCATTTTTGATGGCTGAGTAATATTCCATTGTATATAAATGCCACATCTTCTTTATCCATTTATCTCAGACAACTGGATTTAAAGTCTTTTGCATCCACTTTCTGCCTGTGTGACCTTGGGAAATTTCCTTAACCTCTCTGAGCTCCAGTTTCTTCATCTGTAAGAGTGGGGTAATAATGTCTACTTTGCAGAGTTGCCATGAGAATTAAATGAAAAAAACAAAGTACCTAAAGTCATCACCTAGTACTGGCCACACCAAAAATGTTTGCTAATTCTCTGATGACGATTATGATGATGGAGAAGAAGATGATGATGACGATGGTGATGGTGACGTTGTTAAAAAGAACTTCTAACTCTTTTAACTGGAAGTGCAACTTGATAGTAACGTGTCCTCCAGGGAAGTCCAGCAGCCACCGAGAGAGGAGAGAGCTTTAGACTGTTGAATTCTTATTTGAGGAAAGGAAAAAGCAGCACTGTGCCAGCCAGCTGTCAGCTGGGGTCCTTGTTAGGGAGGAATGGCACTCCTCCAGAGAGTGGGGTTTCTGATGAGCAGGCAGACCTGACTTGGTGCCTGTGCCTGACAGAAAAACCCACATTCTCCTGCACCCCATATGCTGTAGCACAACGTGTATGGTCTGCACAGGAGTCCATTTAACAGGCCTCACGCTGCCGGCTGTCACCCGGGGACGCGGCAGCATTTCTGAGCCCAGCGAGCATGGGCAGCCCCAGAGGTGCCTTCCTGCACGCCGCAGGCTCCCAGCTGTGTGTCTGACTCAGGGAGGCCTGACCCCAGGGCTGGGATGAAGAAGCAGGAGGCTCTCAGGTCCACCAATGACACCAGGAATTCTATGGAGAGCTTCTTAGGCTTCTGTGCGGCACCCCAGCTGGCGCCCAAGGTCCTGGAGCGGGGGTGGCTCTCAGAGAAGGAGGGGCAGCAGGGCTTCAGGATGTGAGGGCCCCTGCCAAGCATGGTAGGCTCTAGGCTGGGCTGGACTCCTTGGAGGAGAGCACAGAGCTTGACTCCAAACTGAAGCAGAAGGACTGCCCGAAGGACTTGGAGTAAGGAAGGCCTCCCTCGGGAACCCTGCCTGGCTCATCTGTGTCCCTAGAGCCCAGCACAATGCCTGGTCCAGAGCACGTGTTTCATACAGTAGCATCTCTGTCTGACATTCTGCCCCTGCCGTCCTCAACTCCATGTAAGTGGTAGGATGTGAGTGGCTTCTGCTGACCTAACACAGGTCT